AGCAACGCAACCGTGTGGAATATCCCCTTATGTAAATCATGACGATGGTCGATTTCTCGCCATGGCTGGCGCGAAGAAAGAAGAGAAAGAGGTATCATAAGTACGTCGAATATGTCTTCTAGACGACCATCGTCTTTTATTAAATTTTTGTGTTAAAATTTTACCATTTAAGAGGATCCTAAACTTGTCTGTTTTACTGATTATTTTTCAAATAAATATTTTTTTAACTATCTTTATGTGTATATACATAAGATTTTTAAAACTTCTCCACAATTAAAGTATAAGATAATGTAGTTCAAACTGGTCGACTTTATATCAAAGATAAAAAAAAGTAAAAAGAAAATTACAATTTTGTTTATCATTGATGTTGAGTCGCAACAATATATATTTGCTTTATATACACGTTTTATACTTTGCGTATAAAAAAATCTTGGACTTGTTTAGACTAGGGATTACATGAAAAAACAATACTATATTTTTAGAATTAGGCTTAGATACCTAATATAAAAGATTAGTTAGAAAATTTGTACGTATATATGCGTGCAATATTGATGTAGCAGTGCGTACTGTAATGCGTGTAGTGATATGTCAATGACACGTAAATCGTATGTGTGGAAGTCCTACTGAATCGATAATACAGACGGCTTTATTGGATCCCCTTAAAATATGCAAAATAATTTCTCTATTTCCTAATAATAAGTATCTCTCTCATTAATTATCTATTCCTTTTCCTGTTCGGAATAAAGAGAATGTTTCGTTATTACTTTCTATTTCAGTAAATTTGGTAATCGTTATAAAATTGACATAATTATTACCAAAATTATAAATTGTAACCATCAGAGAAAGCTGCTTTTTATTAGAGTTAATTTATAATAATTTTTAATTTACTACTAATCTCCTCGTACATGCTTAAATTTATTTATATTTGTTATTACAGTTATATGACTACGTGCTTATTTATTGATCGAAAAGTAGACTGAATTTTACCGATAATGAATTCAGTTGCTTGAACTTTATACATAATACAAAAGCTGCACAATTAGCAAAACGATGATATGGATCGCTGAATACTAGAGACAACGCAATCGTCTCTTTACGTATGTATATATGCCTTATATTTAATCACGCGGATAGAACCAAATCAAGCAAATTATCTATAATAATTATGAAATTGTTTAATTGTTATAGAATTACTTTAGCAGCACAACAAAGTTGTATAACAAAGGTAAGATTAAATTTAACCGTTTACAAGAAAGAATAGATATATAACAAAAGACCAATTTCGGAAGATAGCCACCTAAATTATTATTGTTATATTTAGAGTAGAATGTTAGAATCTTTCAAAATATGATTTCTTTAACTACTGTACGCGATGATTTTTAATGAAGTTGTGAGCAAAGATAAAATGCTCCTTCTATTTAACTTGCGATAACTCAATAGCAAAATATCTTAGGAATGTAAAAAAAATGATTTTGTCGGGAAAATTTTCGAAAATTTTTTTAAGGCACGTGACAGACCCACAAAGTGAGAAGAAAATGTTTCATTTTATCTAATAATATAATATATATAATATTCCTTGTATAGTTTTTATATAATATATAAAAACATTACTAAACTATCAGAAATTAAAATAATATAGAGATCCTTTAAAAAAATTTAACTTCTTAAATCCTTTTTTGAAATTTAAATTTGGTTCATTTTTAAGAAATATATTTTATTATTTTAAATTAAAAATTATTTTCTTTCCAATCTAATAATTACAGGATGCTCAAGTTGATTGCTAAAACGTCAAAACTTTTTGCAAAATTACTTATTATGTGCTTGAGTGACCTCTACATAGTTATTTTAATAGTCCAATAAAATAAATTTCGGATATGTAGATAATTTTTGAATTACTGTTATCTAATATCGTTCTTTCAATTACCTTAATTAAACTTGTATAATATACAGTTTTTTTTTATGTAATATAATCTTATTTTTGCTATAATTTTGTCGTACTTATAGATAATTAATTCCGCAACTACTTATCTATATACAAGAGATATTTTTAAATTCGCGTACACGGAATGTACGACTTTATATCAGAAAATCTTTTTTTTGCAAAATTGCATTCAAATAGTTTCTAAATGAGAATAAAAAGCCTATCAAATAATGCTGATATTTTATTATATTTTTAAAGATGTTATGATATTTATTATATTTAAATGTCGCTACTTAATTGAGATACAACTTTCTTGATAAGAGGACATTTTTTAACTGATATCTGTAATGAGACTGAAAGTAAACGTGAACGGTGATCTAGCTTGCATAAGAAAGTCTTACTTGTAGAACAAATTTGTATATATGTAATAAATAGAAAGCCTGTACTTCGAGTATATGATGCTTTAAAACATTTAATTATAATCCTTTCGATTCGTATTGTATATCCTTAAAATATCGAAACAAATTCTTCCAACAGTTCAAATATATTAATCAGAAAATTTTTTTAATTGTTTTAAAGTTCTTGACTAATAAAATACAGAAAGGTTATCGATATGATATCAACTTTCTTTTTGGATTATATATTTAAACCAAAAATAAAACTTTAGAAATAAAAATACAATTAGAAAATCATATAATGTAACAGTTTTAATGTATATCGTTTGCAATTTTGCAATAATTAACTTTTTCGTATGACAAAAAATGAGCATCTGATACAGTAAGTAGTAATGCTTATATATATTCTTATTTGTCTCTTTCACAGGAGTATCTGTACACAATATCTATAAGCGAATGACGTTTATATAGTATTCGAGAATTTCCAGAGGTCTTTCACTTCGATGTAAAACGTTGATTTGTATGCATATTTTAAGCTGTTCCGCAAGACGTAAAAATGTAACGTGATCGTTTTTTTCAAAAGTTTTTCCGTAAATACAGAAATGTCTTCAACATTGATAGGACTATTTGACGCAATTAATAACGTAACTGTACAAACATTAAAGTAGCTTACTATCACAGACAGATACACCGGTTTACACTGTACTTTGATTTTATGGTTAAAACTGTACTATGAGAAAAATAAAATGAAAAAGACATAAATAAAACAGCTTTAGGAAACTACAAACTTGTAAAACGATCTGACATTAATAATGTACCCTGTACTATTTAAACTGTTCAATTTGCAAAAGAAAATTTTAAGAATTTTCACATTTTTGTAGAATTTATTTTTAGTTTATTTTATACACATATAACAATAAGTAAAACAACATTTGTATATGAATATATACATTATTATGGGTTTTTACGTCTTTAATCAGATCATATTTTTATTTCAATGTTAATAAAATGCAACATTTAGTTTTTAAGAAACAAAGAAGGTGTCTCTTTAAAAAATCTATGTCAGTACCGGCGATTTTTCTCTAATAAATAATTTCGTTAAAGAATAATTTTTCTATAATTTATAAGTAATGACAAACGGTGAGATTGAATATAACATTAATAAGTTGAAAATTGAAACATTCTAACGGATTAAAGTACGCATGCAATATCTTTGCGCGTGTACAATATCGTGTTGTTGCCTGTAATTATTATTTTTATTATGTGCTTCGCTGCCTCGCAATTTTACCATCCCATAATCTTCACATTAAGTTCTATTAGAGCGTACTGGAATACGCCATAGGTGGTTGCCCGTTACGCGAAAAGTAACCGTTGTTGAATGACACACCAAATAAAGAGAGGCTATACTCACTCGGAGAAAACGAGGAAGCTGCAACTACGTGACAATGACTACGTATCGTTAAAATTCCAGGGGTATAAATGAGAAAATTGTGAAAGATGCCAAAACTCAGCTGTCAGGCGTGACTCTGTACGGACAATCGTTATCGATATCGCGATGATGAGATACAGTTATTACAAACTTCCGCACCTCGCATTCGTGATTAAAGTCGTGCTACCGCGGATGGTTCTTGAAAATTTTAAGTGTAGTGCTAACTGCAGACGTCAAAATCGAGTTGTTATATTTGTAAATTCGAAGAAATTACGAAATCAAAAAGATTTCTCAACCATTCGAGTGACGGTTAAACTGTTTGTCAATGCCAAATAATGAACAATGCACATTCTGACCTAAGTTTTGTAAATACAATACTTACGTATAAACTGTTAAAGCGAATTCTTTTTGGCAATTTTATAATGTCTACATTTAATATATTTGAAAAAAGAACTTACAATTAGATGAGATAACGCTGAGAAAAACGACAATGAGAAAAGAAAGTATAGATACCGGATGTAAATGCCGTGAAAGAGAGAAATCAAATATAAAAACTATGACAAATAAGTGGAATGGTATGATTTAATGACTAATACTTCAATTCCCGTGTTTATTCGGAGAGGAGAAACGGCATATTTTGCAATGGATATCAAAAAAATATGCCGCAACAGCTCGAATTTCCGTTTAATGCTTTTTTCTTGATTCATAAGTTTTAATCGAAAAAGATGTTGAGGTTTTCCGTTCAATTTTATCAGAGAAAAAAGAAAGAAAAAAAAATCACATTTAATTTATTTTTTGACACAGATCTTTTAATGTCAAAGTTTTTAATTTATAAAACATATTACACTCAATTATAAATAGAATATCACACTTGCACACAGGAAATATGGATCATGTATAACATGTATTTAAGGAAATTAATGTATCTACGTTTAGCAGCACTTTTAGCAGCAGATTACTTTTGCGAAATCTACACAGTTTTGATGTTCTAAAATTTACCTGACCTATTAGAAAGTAAGATCTAATTATGTCTGTTAAAGGGTTGCGAAGAGACGTAGTAACATAAGATGAAGTGTTTCAATCGCCTTGGTATCTCTAACGGAAATAGAGAGGTCAACTCGAGAGAGAACGACTCGATCGAGGATAAACTAAGAGATATGACTAGAAAAAAAAAAACGCATGTGTGGATTCACTGCGAAACAAATACTCGTGTGAACGTGTTCTGCATATTGATCAATGTTAATCTTCCACTGACCTTATTGAACGACGAGAAATAATCGACAAGAAGAATTGCTCGGATCGCAGCGATGACAGCGAACAGGCAGATAAGTGCGCGCTAGCAGATACTCAGGCTAATAGGCAGGCAATCAGACGGACATGAATATTGGTAGGTATATATGTAATAACTTTCTCCTCGCGCGCGTGGATCTATCGATCCTCTTTCCTGCCTCGACGACTTTTCACGAGTAAAACAGCCCACATTTTGTCACTCTGGTTGAGCCGTCGCGGCCCCACTTTTGCCACCTCTACCTTCGTACCCCTTCTTCAGTAACATCATATCCTATCGAGCTAACGTCTTCCTCCTTCGCATCGACCTCTGCGTCAGCATTTATAGTACGAAGTAAAAGAAAAGATGAAATCGAAGATGTGCCTCCTTCGACTCATTTCTCACTAATACAGTCTCCTTGAAGATAAATGATGCCCCTCATTAAGAAAAATGTCTATTTGAAAATGGATGAAGCATACAATTTTTATTATATTAATCAGAATTCCGGTTATCTCAACTAGTATAAAAATTCTAATAGATTTAATTAAAAAAATACTCAATATAATTTGTTCATTTTTACTTACAATTTGAAGGAGTTGCACAGGAAAGGTCGAATGTTATTAGTTACCTATTAATCATCGTTTATAGTGACCGAAGTACAATGTAAGATGGGAATGCGGAAGCTTTTATTATCGTAGTATCGTAAAGTTATAGATTCCAATTCAATGGTCTACTCATTTTGTAACATTTAAAATTTACAAGAGTAATCTCATACATTAATTGAAAATTTATTAAAATAATATTCGGCGTGTTCAGGAAGCACGCGTTATCCGCATTGTAATTTTGTCTTTATCATGTAACCTGTACCTTATCGTATATTGAATGTTATTTTGCTTTATTATTGTTCATTAGACATCAAATAAGGATAATCGTGCACTTAACGTTTTATCGCGCAGTAGAAAATATAAATGACATTTACAAATTTCTTTTTATATATTCTTACAGCAATGGAATTTAAGTCTATATTAAAATGAACAATATTCTTATCTCTAAAAAAAAACCCAAAAGTACTCATTTAAATAATATATAAATAATAAATTATCTATGAAAGCTTAAATGGAAATCATTCAATGAGTATTAAACATAATCTGTTCTTCGAAATTAGTTCTATGATAACGTAAAAGTTTCTCTTGCAAATGTAGTAATATTTTTAATATTTCGGACTATGTTCTACATACTCCTTACTTAACTCATCGTTATTTAAATTCAAATTTTAATTTCAAATTATTTGTTAAGACAAAATAATTTGCTAAATTTTTCAATATAATATATTTACATAATCATTCAGATTTTAATTAGAAATTTAAATTTAAATTTAAATAACGATGAGAATTAGTTAAAAAACCGCTCTGAACAATAATATGTTTTTCGAGTCATAATATTATTCTAGAACTGACTATTGGAAAAGCTACGTACATCTAAGATTAGCGATGTTATGAAGCAGACTCCAGACGTTAAAAACAGGTTCTTTATTGGAATACAATTTATAAAATAGAAGCTTCTACATTTTGATTCTATTTATACCATTCTATTCATACAGGAAAACTTCATTACTTAATATTAAAAAGCTATTGAAAAAGCTATGTGCATCTAAGATCATCACACGCAATTATTAAGAAGTAGGCTCCTGACATTAAAAAACAGGTTCTTCACTGGAATACAATTTATAAAATAGAAGCTTCTACATTTTGATTCTATTTATACTATTCTATTTATACAGGAAAACTTTATTACAGCTGATTAATTTGAGTGGTACATTATTAATCTTCGGAAAACAGTCCCGGGGGCTCGATTTCTAGTGAAAGGAGATGGAATTAATTAATAGAGTATTTTCAGAATTAGTGATCATCAATGTAGATGAAATTTGAATTCTTTGACTAATTGTAAGAAGGAAGTATAGTTGCGTTACCGGTATTGCCGGTTTTGTGAACATATGGACTTATTAACAACGGTTATTCGGACAAGACTTTGTATTGTGGAGGGGATTTGATCCGTTCGTGGGTCACCGTAAGAATCAGGTACATCTTCACGCACTGAAAAGATCTCAGCTAGAACTAGGTGATTCAACTGTAATTCTGAACCATCTGAATCAAATATTATTTTTTGAAAACTTGTGAAGATACTACAAGAACAAAATAATACTACAGGAGCAAAATAAAAAATATAACTTCACTTGATATTTAATGTTACTCAGTATAATACTAATTTGATTAGCATTTTACATACAATTCACGTGTCAACGCGTGTCTTGAGTCATCAGTAATTCTTATTGCTTTTTTTCCTGCGTTATATCATTTTATTTTGTTATTTTTTATATTGCGTATTATGCTTATTCTAAAGAATGAAATTATTTGAATTGTTTTTTATAAATAAAGATATTTGCTAATATCTTAATGTCAAGGATCGATGCATCTACGCGAGTTAATGTTAAAGTGATTTTCTAGTAGAGTACTAAAAATTTGGTAGGTCCTCATCAGAACTCTCACCAAAATTACAAATATCTATAAAATTTAGATCAAATATAAAAATAAAATAAAAAGAATGTACAAGACTCTGAGTATTTAAAAAACAAAGATAGACAAAGGCATATAAGAGTCAAATATATAATATCAGCACTGTTGGGCACAATTAAATTGTTTTGATAATTAATAATTAACAATTAAAATTACATTTTTAATTGCAATTGACAATTAAATAAGTTAATTGTAATTGTGGGTTTGTACTATAAAAATTAATTGTTAATTGTACCCATAATTAAATAATGATTACAATTAATTAATTGTTAATTGTCCTCTTACAATTAACAATTGATTAATTGTAATCATTATTTAATTGTGGGTACAATTAACAATTGATTTTTATAGTATGTATTGCGAATTGTTCTGTTAATATTCTAAATATTGAAAATCTATAGTGCACGTAACGTAAAATATTATGCATGCAAAAGTGTAATTTTAGAATATTATTTTATATCTACTTATCCGTCTACTTGTCAATTGCTCTTGTCCGTTTTGTCTCTCGGGAGTTACTCGGAATCGCTTCGAATGAAGCCAGCGTATACTTGAGATGTGTTTCAAATCTATTATAGATTTGGTAAGAATCTATTATAGAATTGATAAGTAGACGGATAAGTAGATATAAAATAATATTCTAAAATTACATTTTTGCATGCATAATATTTTAGTAGTTATGCACCCCTAAAAATGGACTTTAGTGGCTCGGGATAAGAGACTTGTGTCTTTTATAAATTTTTTGAACATGACTGGATACACTACCACGTCTCCTGATCACTTATTTTTTAGAGTACAGATATATAAAAAAATATCTTAAAAAATATTAAAAAAGTAATTTAAAAATATTATATAACGGAAGAGAGTGAAATACGGTGCAAAACATGAATGACGGGGGGGGGGTGCAGGGTGAAGGGATCGAAGTTGGTGGAGATGTAGGATACACATTTGTAATATTATTTAAATTCTTTAAATTGTGAACTGATTGTAAGTGTTAATTGTGCTTTAGTTGCAATTGAAATAATAATTGCAACTAAGTTAGTTGCAATTAATTTTAATTGCAGTTAACTTTAATTGTAAAATGCGATTGATCGTTTAATTGTGACCTGCAATTAATCAATTAATTGCAATTGAAACACTACAATTAAATAGTTCAATCATAATTGATTAATTGATTGAAGATTCAATTGATTGATGCCCAACACTGAATATCAGATAACAAAGTCATAACATGATAATACATTTTATTTGTTTCTGTAATTATGTAAAAGTATTATCATGTTATGACTTTGTTATCTGATATTATATATTTGACTCTTATATGCCTTTGTCTATCTTTGTTTTTCAAATATAAAAATTACGTATATCCTAATGAAATAGTATGAAACATACGGTAGTAAATCAAGAGCTGCATCTTTACCAAATGAAAACAAGATGATGTTATGTTTATTTTTCAAAATTAAATTTGTACGCAGATTTGTGCATGTGAATATCTCTCCAGAATGACCTATTATTTTTTGTTACCCTTATTATAATCGTAATTTTTAAAATTATTATAATCTCGTTTTTTAAGGAAGTAATGGTAATATTTTATCTATTTTAATAATTTTATCTATTTATATATGATTAGATCAGGTAAAAAAATTTATACATAATTATATCTACCAAATTATGTACAATCATATATAATGAGATATAAACTTTTTTTCCCGAGCATTAATTCACTATTTTAAAAACTTTGTAAAAGTATTCTCATTTCAATTATGAAGCAACCCTGAAAATTTCAAAATAGAACTCGAATGAATTGTATAGTTAAAAAATTCTTTTGTGTAACGGCGTGGTTTCATTTAGAGCTGTGAATATAAATGAGAAGAATTAAAGATCTTTAAAATCGATTAAAAAGAACTTATATATATTCTCATCGGTATTCAGTAGTTTAATAATCTTAAAGTCTCTTTACAATTTTTTTAAATTTTAATATTAAAATCTTCACTTTTAAAACGTCTTTTAAGTTTTCGTGAATTCGATAATTTTTACATATAAAAAAATAAAAAACTATAAGTTGGATAAAATAGGAATTTTTCTTCTCACACACCTTATAGATCTGTTATAAAATTAAAAAATTGTAAAATTTTTCAATTTTATAAAATAAAAACTTAAATTTTTTCCTACAAAAGCTTTTTTTTAAATAATCTTAAGATTTTTTTTGTTACTGTTGTGGGTTATCGCGAATTAAATAACAGGAGCAAACAATTAAACATGAAAGAGATGAAATATTGCTACGAACAAAAGTTCTGATTCAATAAAATCTCGAGATGTTATATGGTCATTTTAAGATTAACTGAGGTTGGACTTAAATCAATCTTATATAAATATAAAATCGAATTCCACAAATCTGTTCTGTTTTAATATTATTAAATTGGGGGAAAATATAAATACATAAGTTATTAAATCTAAATGAGAA